ATCTTCACAGGCATTGAAGACATTCTCACGCTAATCTTTTTCAGGATTCTCATCTTGTGCTTCATACTCATTCGCTGAGTATTTTTAAGTTGCTTTTTTGTTTTGTGTATGAGTGCACCACCTGCATGTAATGCTTGCTGAGGCCAGAAGAGGGCATCGAGTCCCCTGGAACTGGAGTTAAGGATGAGTGTTACCTGCCATGTGGGTGCTGGAAACTGACTCTGGAACTTCTGGAAGAACAGCAAGTGCTCTTAACCAATGAGCCATTTCTCCAGCCCCTCACGGAGCATTTTAAATCATAATAAATATCAGCACACTTAACAGAAGAATCCCTCAGGGTTAAACACCTTCTACCTCTGGGATCTTGTGAAAGGTGAAGTGCCTGTCTTGTACCTCTGGAGTTTTGTGGCATGATTGTAACAGATGGCTAGGATAGGGGACAGTGAATTGTTATGCAGCAGGAGCTTGGAAAGAGTCTTTCAGAGCCTTTGGGGCTAGCAACAGAGACCAGTATTACCTCCATTTCTCAGAGAAGGAAATGAGATTATCAGGTAAACTGTCTCAAAGGTTCATCGTTGCTATGAAATTCCTGAATCAAAACGTTTTTCCCAGTATACCTTCTGTAGGGTAACTTCGATGTTCCTGATAAAATTTCGAGGGAAATTGTTTTGTTTAACCCAGATGGTACACCAGGTGTGTAAGTATATGCAAATACTAATGTGGTGCCTAAGGACTTAATTATTTCTACAGAGCCTGTGGTTGACTCTGAGTCTATAAGCTCTTTTGATACAACTAATGTGTGACACTCAGGAGAAAATCAAGGCGAACCTGTCAGAGGCAGCAGAGGCCTGGGACAAGAACTGCAATTTTCCATAATTGTCTTTTTAATTGTCCAGTAACAATGGACAGTGTTGTTTTCAGCTCCAGATTCTTTTTTTTTTTTTTTTCCCTCAGATTACTGCACTGTGCTAATAGATGAATTTGTTTGCTGGACCTCTCAAGAGTTTTTAATTCCGTAGGTGCCAACTAGCTGTACAGACCACAACTAGCTGTACAGACTACACGTGAAGAAAGAGGAAAAGTAGGAAGTTGTGGCTTTAGAGTTGGTTGCTACCCATATTGGGGTTAGTTATGAAGGTTTTCCTGAATTCTAAAAATCTTTTTCTTAATTAAATAAATTTAAATATTTTTATTTACTTATTTATTTTAAATAATTTATTGAGAATTTCATACATGCATATAAGGTGTTTTGATCAAATCCATGCCCACTCCCTCCCCTCCAACTCCTCCCATATCTCCCCATCACGTTTTTCTGATAACTTCATGTACTCGTTCTTCTTTATTTTTTTACGGGGCTTTTGGCTGCTCTAACATTTCTCCCTCTGAAGAGGTAACCCTAAAGTCTTTTAAGGATAGATGAAAGCTCCTAAATACTTTTGACATTTTAGGCCTTTGGAATGGAGCAGGTTGCTAAAAGGCCCAAGGACATTATGAGTTTTAGCCAAGAAACTGGCTACTTTTCTTTGGGGTCTTTTAACCCTAACTGCCTAGCCAATTCCTACCTCCTGTTCTTATCACAACATCCTCTGAAGAGGTTACCCAGTTTGCAGATAGTGAATCTGGATGCAGACCTCTCTGGCTTCTTCCATGCTGAACACAGGGTGAAGTAATTGGGGTACCCCTTCAGTGGGTCTAGCTAAAAGGCTCCCAAATTCCATAATTCTTATCTGTAAGGGGAAAAGAAAGTCCTTGACTGGTGAATAGGAGATGTGAAGGAGGAGTAAAGGCAAGAGTAATTAGCATTACAAGTTCTAGACAGGGATCTAGAAAAAAGCCAGAACAGGGCAATTTTCAAATGTTCATATGAGAATCCATTGGAATTTCTTGACAAGGGCTTCCAAAAGCATCCCTCTATTGGGTTCCTGCTCATTTTTCTTTTGTCTGCCAAGGCTGGACTTGGTAGTGATGGACTCAGGATTTGTTTTCAATTTTGATAGCTGTTGGAGTGGTTAGAATCAGTGTCAGTTCCCTCTGAAAGGCTTCTAGATAGGGGGAGAAAACAAATTTATCCATCATTTTAGAACAATAGCTGGTTGTCTCCCTTAGCTACAGGTGGTCATTACAGTATTGGAGACCAAGACTTGATGTCTTACATCTGAACAGCACTTTCTGGTTAGGAACAAAATCACCAATGAGAAGTATTTGTCTAAATAACTTTTTATATAGATTAAGTCTAATGTCTGGGAAGTGTAATCCCTTGAACTCTTAAAGAAATATACTGATCACTTTACTCTCTGATTATACTTTCCTTTTGGGTGTTTAAGACCGTACAGTTGGCCCAAATAAATCAATTTATTTTTACACTTAAGGTCGTTTGAGGAACTCCTCAGGGGTCACATGGGCTTGGGAAGAGCCCCTGGCTCCTTTCTTTAACCAGTTCCATCTATGGGAAGATAAGTCAAAGGTCCTGCTTGATGACGGTTGGCTTCAGTTGGAAGCATGGAGGAGATGTTTCCTCTGAGTTGACCCTCCTCTTTGTAGAATGGATGTTGGTTCAAGTCTATCTCATGGGGTCTCCATGGCCTCCCTGAACAAGAGGACAGGTGACTCACTACAGTTACAGGCAATTTTGAGAGATATTCCATAGTCCCCTGGTACTTAGTCAACCTTGGAGGGCAAGGGGCAAAAACTGTCCTTTAACTCTCTCTGACCACATTAGTATAGATCTCAAAGTATGGCTGTTAAACATCCAATAAGGTTAGTTCCACCAGTCTGGTACTTTTAATTATCATGTGCTATGTAGATGTTCCATTGATCTATGTGTCTGTTTTTGTGCCAGTACCATGCTGTTTTCATGACTATAGCTCTGTAGTACACTTTGAGATCTGGTATAGTAGTCCCCCCAGCTTTGCTCTTACTGCTCAGGGTTGCTTTGCCTATCCGAGGTCTTTTGTGCTTCCATATGAATTTAAGGATGGCTTTTTCTAATTCTGTGAAGTATTTCATGGGGATTTTGATTGGGATTGCACTGAATCTATAAATGACTTTTGGTAGGATGGTCATTTTAACAATATTAATTCTTCTAATCCATGAACATGGGAGGTCCTTCCATCTCCTGGTGTCTTCCTCAGTCTCTTTCTTTAACAATTTAAAATTTTCATCTTTGGTGTCTTTGGTCAGATTTTTTTCCAAGATTTTTTTATTTTTTTTGCAGCCACTGTGAATGGGAGCATTTCCCTGTATTCTTCCTCCAATTGCTTGGATTTTTTTTTTTTTTTTTTTTTGGTTTTTTTGAGACAGGGTCTCCCTGTGGCCCCAGCTGTCCTGGAACTCACTGTGGAGACCAGGCTGGGCTTGAACTCACAGAGATCTGCCTGCCTTTGCCTCCGGAGTGCTGGGATTAAAGGCATGCGCCACCACGCTGGGCTGGATTTTGTTTTTTAATCCATTTACTTAGCCTGTGTCTTTTGACTGGGAATTTCAGTCCATTGATATTTAAGATTATTTTTGAAAGGTGTATATTGGTTGCCATTATTTTGATTGCTGTTTGTACTCTCTAATTTTGTGTTTCCTCAATTATACTTTTATTTATTTTCTTTTATTGCCCCTGGGATATAGTTGTTTCTCTCTCTGCTCTCTGTATTGCTTCAAGTATTCTTTGAAGGGCTGGTTTTGTGGACATGTATTCTTTCAGGCTAAGTAAATGGA